CTTTTTTTTTTTTTTTTTTGAAAGACTCTTACTCTATCACCTTGGGTAGAGTGCTGTGGCATTATCATATCTCACATAAACTTCAAACTCTTGGGGCCATGTGAGAGGAATGGATGACTTATGAGGTATTACTCAGGATTTTTTTTTTTTTTTTGAGACAGTCTCAAGCTATCGCCTTGGGTAGAGTGCTGTGGTGCCATAGCTCACAGTAACCTTCAACTCGGGCTCAAGTGATCCTCTTGCCTCATTTTTTCTATTTTTAGTAGATGGGGTCTCGATTTTGCTCAGACTGCTCTGGAACTCATGAACTCAAGCAATCCACCTGCTTTGGCCTCCCAAAGTGCTAGTATTACAGGTGTGAGCCACTGCGCCCAGCCACAGTTACATTCTACTATCAGACTTCCTAGAGGGAAATAATATAACAGTGATAGTCACCTGCATTGGTGAATATTGGGACATGGTGCAGATATTTGCTCTGTGTTTCTTTGGTTTATACCTTTTGAATATTTACATAGTAGTTTATAGTTTCTTGAACACCTTCATGTTTATTACCCCCAAGCTACCAATGCTGTGAGAATTGGAATCCAAACTTTTGAGTTTCATTAAGTGGAGCCAGGTCATGTGATTACTGATGAACATGGGTACAGCCTATCTTGAGACTTCTGGTTTTGTTCCCTTTGCATGTATTGGGTGTATTTAACATGAAACCCTTATTTATGAAATGCCAAAATTGAAATCCTATGTCAAAGTGAAAGAAAGGAAAAAATCTAGTATCTTAAAGTTACTTTTGTTTAAGTAGGAGTTTACTTTTTTTTGAGATGGAGGATTTCACTTAAAAAGCAACTCAGATTTGATAGTTGGCTTTGGTTTTTGTTCCTCAGTAAAAGAGTGGATGTGATTTTTTTCATTTAACACCTAAATATTGAATTTACACATGAAGTAAAGAGTTATGTATTTAGAGTTAAAAAACTGATAATTATCTAGAGCAGTGGTTCTCAACCTGTGGGTAGCGACCCCTTTGTAACAATGAAAATACATCGTAGTGTTAGGAAAGTTGAGAACCACTGATGGAGAGTAATGTTAGTCATTAACATTCTAAACTCCCCTATTATAGCATTCTCACATTTGTTTTTTCTTTTGGCTCTTTCTGTATGTCTTGATGAATCTGTAGTTGGTCATTTATGTGGTCTAGTATATTTTAGGCTTTATGTATAGCTTTATGAGGAAAAACAAAGTTCTTTTTGGGTAGAGGAAGTAGGTAGCTTTCTTTTCCTTTAATTTATTGCCCTTTTTCCCCACTCATGGCAGTTTTTCTAATCATATTTTTCTATGTTTCATTCTGGAAAATTGTTCTTTTCATTTTAAGTTATTACAGATATTTTCCTAGTATACTGCTTCCACAATCTCCTACTCTGAGAAAGAGTTTATTATAGTTTTTTTTTAAGAGACAGAGTCTCACTTTGTTGCCCTTGGTAGAGTGCTGTAGCATCACAGCTCACAGCAACTGTCAGCTCTTGGGCTTAGGCAATTCTTTTGTCTCAGCCTCCCCAGTAGCTGGGACTACAGGTACCTGTAACAATTCCCGGCTAATTTTTTGTTGCAGTTTGGCTGGGGCTGGATTTGAACCTACCACCCTCGGTATATGGAGCTGGTGCCCTACTCACTGAGCCACAGGCACTGCCCTATTATGGTTTTCTGTTTGTTGCATTTGTTCTTTGTTGTTTTTCCCCTTCTTTTTCTGCTTTCTCTGATCTAAATGTTGTTTGATTTCACTTTCTTTCTTGTTTTAGTATATCAATTGTACTTAAAAAAAAAAAAACATTTAAGTGGTTGCCCTAGGGTTTGCAATATGCATTTTAGGTAATCTAAGTTCTCATTCAAATAACACTATCCCACTTCACATGGAGTGCAGGTACCTTATTAACAGGGTATTCCCAGTTCCTTCTTGTCTTCCCTTCTTTTTTTTTTTTTTT